GTTTGCTATGCTTTAAAATAAGGTGATGTGCAGCTGTGTGGCCTAATCCTGTTAGTTTCTCATGCATCTTATCTAAGAACATCTGTAGTCTTAGCTTCCCCAGGGGCAAAGATGGAGAAACATTAAGCATCTCAATGCCAATCAAGCTTTAGTAAAAGCTAGGTGCCAAACTACTCAGGATGTAAAACTGTGACAGTTTGGGGCCCATAAGGTCACAAAATGAACACCCTGTGAAAGGCAGGTAACTCAAAGACCAGAGGGCATGTGAGCCAATTTTGTTCTTACATTCCACCAAACTGTCCATGTTGGTGCTTAAATCCTATTTTGGATCTGGTCCATGGGCTCTGGCCTGATACCAGGTTTCACTAACCAGTTTACTCTTGGTTTTAATCCTACTGCACAAATCAAAGGATTTCAGGTAAAAAAATAAGCTGCTCCAGCAGGGTGCCACGACAGTTATCTTCCTTCAGAACAATGCCACGTATACATGGCAAACAGCCAGTGGCTCTTGATGTACTTACGAATGCCAAGAAAACCTGGCTTTTAATAAGCCATCTAATTAACTACTAGTCTTATGATGTACAGCTCAGTTTTCCTAAGTCACTTCTTTGCCAAAGCTTAAGTCTTAACTTCTATTGCTGCCTGTGTAGCAAATGCATTCTTCTGTTTTGAAACTACTGTAATGCAGATCTGTAATGCAGATCAAGGGCCAGACTCTGCATTTCTTCTTTAGAAGTATCAAGAAACACTTATTCTTCGAAACTTCTGCCACTATGTGGAGGCAATTACATGAGTATACAGATCTGAGTAAGTGATTAACTTTTTTAATAGAAGCCACACACCAGAGTGAAATAATCATTGGAAACTGGTTTTAAGTACCACATGAGTCCCTGTTTTCTTAGTGCTTTAGCTGGAATATGACAAGTTGAGGAGACCCACACAGATTCTGTTAGATTGCATCATTACATCAAAGCCTGTTGTAACAACCACCACCAAAAAAAAAAGATTTTCAAGGGAAATAAAATATTTTACTTCACTGAAGTCTGAGACTGCTTTCTAAGGCTGCCCAGGGAAACGAAAAGTATAACAATTGATGCTGGTAACAAACAATGCATGGCAAGCACAGCTACATGAGGCTTAAGTCAAAAGAAATTTTGCCATAAAGTTTCAATCTGTGGAAGTGTAAGCAGGCATGATTTTCAGTAACATCACTCAAAATCATGCTGTTGGCAAGGACCATGTAGCTAGGGAAGGGTGACTTGAACCAATAGCAAACTTTTTGGAATATGTGCCTCAGAGATGCCACTGAATAGGCTTCAATTATATATATAGCGTATGCTATGTGATGCTATGAATAGAAATACATTAAAGTTCAAAAAGTGCAGCAGCAAGAGATGAAGAATGAGACTATGAGTTACAAACATAATGGAGTCTTCAGTAGTCTGCTTAAGTGATAATTGACAATATCAACATTAGCTTAAGAAAATCATCCTCATGTAGTCACTGAGGACTAAAGTCTGCAAGGAAAACTGGAAGGCTTAGGAAATGCTTCCTATTCAAAGCATAGCCAATACATGCCCTTCTCTAAGGGCAACCCATAGACATCCCTATCAAATATCAGCTTCATACAAAGAAGCTAATGACAGGAAATATTTCCTGTCCTTGTTTCCAAGATCCTTTATAGACCTCATCTACCACTTCCCAGCTGGTATTCAGTAGATGGCTGTAGGGCTCCCCATGCAGCCTTGCTCAGACTGCTGGGGAGGCAGAGCTGATGTGGTCAGGGAGCTGGCTAAAGGAAATGTGGCTTTACTATATCACTGTCCAGTGCTTTCTGACCACAAAGTGGTCTCTCCTCTCTTCTCCTTTGTGGGGATCATTGGTCTCACGACATCTGAGGACAGCTGTATTGCAGCTGCCTCTGAGGTGTTGGAGGAGCTAGGTAATTTTAAACATAAGGAATTCTCAGAATCACTTATTTGCTGCTGTGGGATTTCCTAGGAACAGTCTTTAACTAATAACAGCCCTTCAAGAAATTCATTTTATCTGACCCAAAGTTAAAGTATTTCATAAATAAAGCCTGTTCTGTTTCGTCTAGACAACTATTATGCAGTGCCTTGAAAGTTATTAGTGGGATGCTGAGATGTGTGGATATGTGTCATGCTTGGGAAGTGATGGAAATGGAGGAACAGTGATGAAGTGACCGGATTTCTAAGGAAAACCTAGGCAGGCAGGTGGTGCAATGTCAGTAACACATAACATATGAAAAAGAACCAAACATTGCTAGGTCTGCAAGTGCTTGCATCTATAGTTATTTATTTATATCTGATGAAGGTGGTGTAATGCAATCCTGTGAATAGCTTTCAAAATTTTGAGGGAGGGATTACTGACTCGCCAAGAGTCAAGAGGGCTGCTTACAGTTAACATCCCTGTTGTGATTTTTCATACTTTACACATCCCATCAGAAGTAACTCTAAGGAATTAGTTTATGGGATTGCCTGCTTAGAAAAACTGTATTCTTTTAATTAGACTTGTGTCATCAAATCCAGAGCTCTGGTTGTGTCTGCTAGTATAGCTTCATAGTCATATCAGTGGCATAGCTTCTTTTTTGTATGCAAATGGAAATATAGCATGCACTGGCATAAGACATCTGTGTGCTGATATAATTGTGCCCGCACTGGGAGCAGTGCTGATGTAAGTATCTACGTAATAATGACACCCAAATACAAGAAAAGACCATATGACACAGAATCTGCGTGCAGAGACAAGGCCTGAATTAATGTATTTTATACTATTATTGGCACTGTCAACCTGAAAGTAATTTAGACCTCCTCCAATAAGCTGCTTTCTGTCTGATTTATGTTCTTTTTGATACTTGTGTAAGAATTTCCATTAAACTGTTGTATAGATTCAGTTTGAATTACACTAGTATAAAGGTACCTTACTTCCTATACAGCTTACACTCATTATTTTGACTGATTATATCACCATGAAAAGGTTTTTTTATTGGTACTATGCACATGCATTTTTCTGAGTCTTGTTACTCATGCTGCTGTAGGTAAAGCCACTTACAGATAGATATGTTTACATAGAGCTTACTTTACTTTATGTAAAATATACCCTTGGATTGAAAAGGCCAGATTCAGAAGCGATACATAAAGGGCTAAATGGATGTGAACCCAAGCAAAAGTAATAGGAGTTTAAGGATTGTCTGTCTTCCTTGTTGAATATGACCTGGATGTTTGAGTCTATAACAACATGACCTCACTTAGCCTCTTCCAACTTTGGTCCAGAGATGCTGAAAATCATATGAAGTTTATTTGCCAAAATAAAACTGGAAAAAATTGTATTTCATTTAAAGTATTTGAAAATGGGCATCCTTATTCTGTGCCTTCCCATAAGCCATGCAGAGCCAGGAGCAAACTCTGAGGAGCTGACTGGATATCAAGGGTGGGAGCCAGCGGGGTTCAGGAGAAAATTGCATATTATCTGCATTGCTACAGAATGGAAGTTTTTTTCTAAACCATAGGTTATACCTGTGAAAAACTGTGAATTGAAATACTTTTGAAACTTATCCCTTCTCTTCTTATGATGCTGTGGCATTTAAATCTTGATGTTAAGTAGCACCAAGAGTGTACTTACCAAAAAGAGTTCCCAGACACCTGGAAGTCAGAACTGATCTTAAAATTCTAGCTCCATATATGCAATACTGCTATGTAATTTTACCTTGAAAATTTCTTTATTTCATCTTGGTGAGAAATAAACCCACTTTTTTTGGTAAAGAGGTGCTTTGTCGCAGTATCTGTGAACTTTGTTTGACTTCAGTGGGATTTGAATCCTGTGCATTTTCAAGTTTGCTTAAATTTGAAACTTAGCAGTGGACATTGTTGACCTGAAGCCTTATATAGCATATCTGTTATTCAGATGGATTAGTTATGAAAGGCTTCATGAAAGAAAGTCATTCCAAAAGGAGACCTGAAGGGAAAAAGACTTAAAAATGAAGGGAGAAAAGCTACTCTTTGATAATTTTGATAATACTTGATAATCCTGTCACACCTTGAAAATGACAATTTCATTCAACCACAGTGAACTGCTGAAGTTCCAAAATGGCGTGGTACCATAGCATCTACTTTTCTTTCTCAGCCAAAAGAGCATATATGTGTGCATTCAGACCACTATTCCTCCTTTTGCTTCAGAAGCAGCACTCAGAAGTTACTGCTGATGATTAAAACACTGTATCTGACCAAATCTGCCTTCATAATTATTACCATTTTGGAACAGAAAGTAAAAACCTAATGCTACGTGCATGGTTTTTGGAGACATCCCATATCTACAAGTAGGAAACATGATCTAATTGTTGCATTAGTAAGACTAGGAATCAAGGGGTTTTACACTGTCATATCACTGACTCTTTAAGCAACCTCTGAGAATTGCTTAAATACTTGGTATATTGGGTAATACATTACTGATAATTGTACTACTGGATAGATGTGACTTGAGGTTTAATATATCACAATCTAATTTCTTTAAGTGCAAATGCAAGGCTTGCTTTTGGGAGAGAAGGGCGATCTCTGATTCAAGACTGGTCAGGAATCTGAAGCTTTCTCTCTGTGCCTTGGTTCACTTTCTGTAAATAAAGAGAATATTCTATTTTTCTTGTCAATGAAGAAATGGTTCTGTGGTGTGTATTTAGGGTACCTCCATGCAAGTTTGGGCCTCTTCTATGCGTTGCAGAAATACAAATTTAGCTAACAAGAATTAGTTACAGAAGGTATCCAAATGCTGTTAAAGTCAATGGAAACATTGCCACTGACTTTACCAGGGGTGGGATTGGGTCATTGTTTCATACTTTTAAACTGTATTAGATGGAAGCTTTTATTGATTTTTTATCCAGTTTCAGCTTTTTGCAAAGGGCTGGTGACTTTAGCCTGTTGTTACCTGTGGATGTAAACATTTATTTTAATGATTTTTTTTGTTGTTGCTTTTTCCTTCCTGGGCAGGATTTATGTGGGCATCATTCATGTGATACTCTGGGAATGGCAGACGTTGGGACCATATGCTCTCCTGAGCGCAGCTGTGCGGTGATTGAAGATGACGGCCTCCATGCAGCTTTTACAGTGGCTCACGAAATTGGTATGCAATGCCTTTTCTGTTCACTTGCCAAATCAAACACTTGTAACAGCTGCATTAGTAACCAAAATACTTCGCAATTAATTCCAGATTTCCCCTGGTCCAGATACTCACTTGGGGATTAAGGCTGTATACATATGCACTTCAGGGTTAACTAATAAGGGATCAGAAGGCAAGTGAAGGCGCACAGTAGGTGTTTCCTTTCTGACAGTGTCATTTCTAAGCAGTAGTTGAAGTGAAAATTCAAAGTCTGCTGCTACTGTCCAAAGATGTCGATACATGTGTCTCCTGAGAAAGCATTTGGCCTGTCTATTGTAATTCGCATACATTTGGTGCACACACAGTGGAAAATAACTCGCCTTTTTGAAGTCCATGCATGCTCTACTGTCATGAAACATTATTCTGGGACAGTGCGTTAACTGCACTGTGGAAAAAACAGAATTCTAATCTTTTTGTAAGTGTATGGAAATTCCACCTTTATGGTCAAATATGCTACTACTGTGAATCTTGAAATAAGTTAATTATTATTTAGGTGGTAAAGATTTGGTCAAAGAAAAACCTGTTCAGGTTTGTTTCCGTTTCCACCTCTGGATAGCAACACAACGTAAAGATTTAAGATAGAATTAGTGACAGAAGAAAGTTCATGTTCTGTGATACTCCATCTGTTGTGATATATTCCTTAGAAGAGACTGCTGCCATTTTGGTAATTTTTAATTTACCAGTGCTTTGTGAGTTGTGTTCACTGGAAATGTGTTTAGTATGAGGGCTGTTCGCCTTGGTGAGTGAACAAGAATTTAGAAGGGGAGAACATATTTTTTAACATTCTTGGAAGGAAATAGCAAGGAAAGGAGAACTTGCAGAGAGAGCCAGTTGCTGAATTGCCTTGTACCTTATGCCAAACCAAAGTAAAGTTTGCTTTGGGAGTATCATTGCAGTAGTTCAGTTTTCAAGTAGCTAGCAGGTAGAGCTGAAGAGTTGTGTGCCTTATATATACAACTGGCTCAGCAACCAGAGGTCACCAAATATGAAAAAGGAGCTGGCGTGCCACTGACCTGACCCTTCAATATTTAGGGGACCTAACCCTACTGCTCTTGTGGTGCTACAGAGAAGTGATATCAGTAGTGGCTGCAAGCGGGATCATGTGTTGCATGAAAATATAAAATATTTGTGGCAGAATTAGTCCCCAAAACAGAAATCTTGTTTTAATAAACAAGAATATAATTATGAAAGAAAAAGCCCTTTGAAATTACTAATTCAGAGTATGTGGAGATAAGTACAGCAATACATCAAATACAGCTTCACATCAGAAGAGTTTAGTGGCATGAAACCTGGATGCTGTGAAACCAAGGACCTTTCACGAACCTTGTCTAGAACTGGGACAAGTAGATTGGCAAACTTCACCTATCACTCAGAGGCCAGTCTGCTGGAGAGTGCTTGTGTGTTTTTGCATCCAGAAGCAATGCTCACTGGTGAAGGTTGGCAGGCATTGGCAAGGTCAGATGAGGGACCTTCTTGCAATGTCAACCAGTGTTGATAGTATCTGGTGAGTGAAGAGGTGACTAATGTGTCTCGACTACCAATTTATCAGCAATAAATACATGACTAGATAGATTAAAAATGACAGAACATACATCAGTAAAGATAGGGGTCAGCATAGCTATGCATATTACTGCCTTGAATTTCACACAAAGAAAACTTAAACAAAATTAAAAATTTTTAGTGATCTCAAAGCACATTTCTGAAGAAAACCAACAAAAGACATTTTCATACCTAGACATTTACAGGAATCAGCAGAAGCTATAATTTTCAGTGTAAAAAAGGCATGAATTGAAATTAATAAATAAGTACCCCGATGGACAAAAAAAAAAAACCTCTAGTTTTGAGGCTGTTTAAAATACCATCTTATTTTTTTTTTGTTCTTACCATAAGATTTTAAGAAAGGAGGGGTGGGTGTCAAGTCGCAGAATGATCTTTGTGTGTGTGGCCTGAAGTGGGAGAAGTTGAGAGGAAAACAAAGCTAAAATTGCTTGAGTACTTGTATTAAATTAAAGGTAAAAAAGGATGAAAAATAGAAGTGTGGCATGGATACCCTTTAGTTAAGCACTTTGGGGAAAACCTTGCTTTGTTTTATTTGGAGACCGAACTTCTTCCTGTGATTCAGGCATCTTAAACTTCCCCCTACCCTGCTGTGGGTAGGGTGTAGCTTTAATTTTACAGTGGCTTAGTTATTCAGTGGAATTCACCTGGCTACGTAAAAGATGCCCTGCGAGACTAAGGGGATGCTAAGGGCTCTAAGCCTAAGATGCTTCTTTCTGTCTGTAGGAATAGGAAAGTGAGCCTCTAAGTGAATCAGAGTCACCATCTGCAGTATTTTAGAGTAACCGTGCTACATGTGCATGGGTAGCAGATGCATCATCATTAACACAGATTTGATCTGGAGAATGGCTGTGTGTCCTCACTAACTTCCACGGGGATCTGAATGCTCTTGTTTCCTCTCTGAAGGATCCAGGAGCATATTTCAGGATCAGATTATTTCTCCAGAAGGCAACCAAAGTAAATGGAACTGCAGCTCAAACGGGGAGGTGCACGGCCCAAGGGGTGAGGTTGGATACATGCATAAGAAGCAAAAAGTTGCCAGGGTTTCTACTACTTACATGTTAGATGTTTATTTTGTTTCTTTCAGATAAAATCCAAGAGTTTTAACCAGTGTTTTTTAAGGGCAAGAGTATGAATGAATAGCAGTAACAGGCAAAATCTCCAAAGAGCTATAAACAAGAACACAGAAAGAAATAGGTGCAACCAAATTCTTAGTACAACTGATTAGCTGACAGTAAGAGGTGGAGATCTGTATACAAAGACTAACAAGGCTGGACATGAATCTTGTCCTACTTACATGTAGGAAAATCAGGAATAATTTGTCTTCGATGTCAAATGTAGAAAATGCGGATAATGCAACAGAAAAACAGGAGGAAAGCTTATAACTTTGAATGTGATAATCCGGTTTCTCCTCCAAATAAAAGGAAGCAGTGCTAATAGCATAAATGTTACTTTTAAATCATAACCTGTCAAGACATCCAGCTACTGCTAGTAAATCCATACATGGTTATTTTCTAGCAGGGGACATGCTGCTATCAGTTTGGACAGTAGCAGCTTTGCAGTCACAAAAACAGTCTTCTGGATTTCTGCATGAAATAATCTGAGATCCATGTTGTGGCATATGGATTTTTTTTTTTACTTTAAGCTTCTCCTTTAGCTATGCCTCCATAGCTTTCCAGGGATATCTGAGCTAGCTTAGGCACAGTATGTAGACATTTTCCAGGTCTTTGTTATTGTCTGTAAAAAAATTATGTTTCCTTATTTCATGCACTTCTCTGCTTCACAGAGACATCTGGAGAAAAGCGTTAAAGAACCTATGACTGCACATAATCTCAACATTTATGTAAAGGTTTTCATAGGTCAGCACTAGTATTTTGCTTCTCCATATATCCCTTACTAAAATAACCATCAGGAAACAAAAATAACTAGATTTTCACTCTAAGGCTCTGGAATTTTGGGTTGAAGATTTGTTGCATTTACTGGTGAATTATAAGCCAACCCATGCATCCCATGAAGATAAGCAGGATCTAACATCACCAACAGACACAGTCAGTTTGAAGTTACGTTTAACATCTCTTGTGATGGGATATATCTAGTGCATGACAATGCCTTGTTTAGTAGTATGGCGTTGCATTTTGTGATACAGTCATGATCAGAAGTTTCAGGTGACTTTGGCTACTCTTATGCTGGAGTCCCCTATGCTTCAGTAGAGACAGCCCACCATCCTAGTGGATTTGTTTTCTACTAAAACAGAATAAGAGGAGTACAAGAGCAAATGAGTGGAGCTACTGCTCATTTTATCAATAGGTAATTTCCCAAAATCACAAGGAAGTTTCAAGAAAAGCCAGGGTTTAAAGTTGTCTCTTGAGTTTTGATCTAGTCCTTAAATACAAAAACATCCTTCCTGCAGTCAAAGCTTTATTTTAGTTCAGGAAGAGTTACGTGGGTCTGTTAAATTATATGTATCTTTATTCTTTCCACCAATCTTGAAGAACGTTTTTCTCAATTTTTTAGAGGAGATATAGAGAAAGCCCCTGCCTTTTTGCTCAGTGGTAATGTTCATTTGACCTTTTGCAGAGTTCCTATTTCTCTATTAAGCAACCACGCTGACATGTTATTACTCCTTCTATCCTCCTGAGTAATATGGTTTACTGATGTTCTTTCCAAGTGTTTTATTTTTAGGATATAGCTTTGAAATTCCTACATGGAATTAATTAAACCTGTGTTCATTAGTTTTCTTTGACTTGTGACTTTAAAGAAGGGAAGGCCAAAAGGGGCATAAAAGCAATGTTCAAATATATTAAAGAAATAATTGCGAAAATTTGCGTCATAGATCATTCTCCATGTCCACCTGGGACAGAACAAGGGGTAATGGCCTTAAGTTGCAACAAGGGAAATTTACTTTAAGAATTAGCCAAAATCATCTAACCAGAAAGACAGTTAAGGACAGAAATAAATTGCTGGGGGAGGCTGTGAAATCTCCATTACTGGAGGTTCACAGGAGCCGGATGGCTAAAACAGCTGTGGCTTAGGGGACACTGATCCTACCCTGCAGCGGAGGGATGCACAAGATGGCCTTTCAAGTTCTCCTTTCAAGCTCATTTTATATGGTTACGTGAAGTTATCACAACTTCTTCCACAGCTATACTGTGTAACACCTAAACTCAAGTACAGAAACTGAAACCAGAAAATGATGTGTAATACCAGATCTTTTTGAGCATGCTGTAATTCTGTGGCATCTGCCACCACTGAGGAGATCACAAGCTCTGTCAACAAAGTGTAGTGCTTTATTATTATGTAAAGAAGCCATTTTAGAAGTGATGTATCACTCCTGGGATCCTCACTCATGTGGTTCACTGAAATGCACCAAAGTACCATTTTGCTGAATTCTGAGTGGACTAAAAGTA